TTCTTGTGCTCCGCTAATTTTTGGTGGATCAGCCGACAGATCTCGCCAACATAAGGTCGACCACAGGAGCACATACTCTTGTAACAGCCGTATCTTGATAGTGAGTCATATTTCTCTCAAAAAGAGAAGAAAGTGTCAAAGTTTCTTTGAAAACTGTCTCCACCACTTCCTCACTATCTTCTTAGAAAGAAAACATGACGGCAATAGTAAAGCATGAGAAAGGGTCTCGGCTTGCCTATCTCTGACTGGATAGTCTCCGTCTCAAAATTTCTTCCTTATTATAGATATATTATTGCAAATTAAGTTCAAATGATAGTTAGTATCCAGGACTAAAACTTTCAATTTTTTTAACTTTTCCCTTAGATGATTTCCATCAGCAACCCTCATACTTACAATAATCACAGATTTTGAAATTCCAGCCTTTTGTTTTGTAATTATGTTTAGAAAGAAAGCTAACAATGAAATCAGCATATGCTGGTTTCCTATAAACATGTATGCTTAACTTACCATCTTCCCTAATAACCATAACATTCAAAAAAGGTAATTTCATATTTTCTTCTGATTCCATTGTGAATTTAATATTTATTTCACGCCGACAAGTGAAGATAGGAAACTATTTAAACTTTTTTATCTTGCTGCCAGATCACAAAATAATCATCAATATATCTTGCAAACAATTTAGGAATCAGAATTACCTCTTGCATTAAACAATCCTTAAACTTAGACATGTAATTATTAGCAAAAATTGGAGCTAAGCAAGATTGATATGAGTGATTTTATTATGTATATTTGTGTATATAACAATGATATTCGCAAGATCTGACACAAGATGAAATAATTAAGCCTTTTTTATACTTATTTTATCAAAATATAATTATATCATCTACGCTATGGTCATGACGCTTGATTTTTAGTTATCTATTCCCGAGCCGTTCCCTATTTCATTGTTTTATTCCCCTCATTCCCCCTATTCACAAATCTCACTGATGCCATTGTGATTATTCCATTCTACATGACCTTGGACCGCTGATCGTCATTTATATTCTCAGATCTGGGACCTAACCACCGCTCTGAGCCTGCCACGGCATTCTCTTCCTGGGAATCAATATATGCCAAGTTCTGGTGTACATCCCTTCTTAGGACAGGAGGCTGGTTCATTTAGAAAGGAGACAGGTGAATTTTTTTCGAGGTCATATTAGTCTAGATATTTCTTTAGATAGCTCATCAATAGGGTGCATTGCTGTATTACTATTATTACCTTGTCTTAAATGTCAATAAAAAGAGCCATGGAGAACATCAGAACTTCATTTAATATTCTAACTATGCACAGTTTGTTAGATTATTAAATGAAGTTCATAACTTAGTTATACTTGTTTTATCTACAGGCAAGTAATATATATCAATTTAACTGGAAAGGATTTTATTCAGGTTGGGTTAAGTACATTTTATAAGGAATCAACTGAGTAGAGCAACATAGATTGCATTTGTCAAAATGAGAATTTATTCCTTAAGCTTTGTGCTGACGTACCTTGAAGACATTTGTCTTTTGAATTGTGCGAAGTAGACCTCAACTAACCGTCTTACGACCACGATAAATCCGTGCTAAGTTTCGTCCTTCGTGTGACGGACATCTTCAGAGCCAGAAACCATATTTACGAGCAATCATCAAAACATGCTAAACCAAGAAAAGTGGCCAACTGGGATCATACTTATTTTTTACTTTGCGATCTTAATGAGGCATTCCATGATTTGGTTGGCCAGTTTAAGCCAACTAAAATTTTCTTAGCATTTCTAACTCCTGTTCCTGATGATTTACGTCTACTAGACGTAAACTCCTTATTATCATTGATTTAATTACTCCCGCTTTAACACCATAAGTATGATTCGAAAAGAAATTAAAAAGGAAACCCGCATTTTGGGGTTATCAATATGCACCACAACCTTTCTTTAATAACTAGGACATCTAAAAAGGGTAACCTATGTCATTTCCTGACTCCATGGTGAATTTGTCGCCTTATCTACTGTATTCATTAATCCAAGGAAGTCATCCAAACACTTTGCTATGCTGCTAGGTATCAATGTAATCATCCATATATCTGACAAATAGTAACGGAACTAGGAGTGCCTCTTGAAGATGCTAGGCTTCTAATTAAGCCCTGTGGTTATTAGCTATAACTGGAGATAAACAAGATCCAATAGCTAAACCTCCGATTTACTCGTACAATTTACTAGTAAAGATAAAATATGTACTATTCATAATGAGGTTCGTTAATCTCATGATTGACTCCTTGCTTATCTTTGCGTGTAGATCCAAGGTTATTCCTAAGGCCTGTATGGCCCCATCTACCGGTTCATCGATACTACATCAAATTTACTAGCAAATCCTCTTGTTCTATTATTTGCTCATCTATTAACTTCATAAAGTCATAAGAAATCTTTATTGAAAATTTCCTAAAACCTGAGATTTGTTTTTATTGATGACAAAGGAATCGTGATTTTTTATGCATCACATCAACTTTATTATTCACAATGATCCTTGGTGGATTTTGGGCATACCATATGCATTAGGGAGTCTAGTATCGCGTTGGAGAAGTGCATTCATTTCTTATTTCTCCACTATTAACGTTTGGTTGCAAACAACTCTTAAGTCTCGACTTGAGCGTTTATGTAGGGTTCTTAGTTATAATTATATACGTATTAAAATCAGCTATAGTCCGCATTATCTTTTTTATATAATCTGCCATACCCACAACTAAAACTTCACCTTCCTCTGCCATCAAAACGATTTGTTTGCGTTGTCTTAACTTCTTAATTATATTATTAACCCGCCTATTCTTGTTTGGTGCTTCAACATGGTTATAAATTAGAGGAACAATCTGTACTTCAATCTCACTTCTAGTTTCTTCTGCTAATTGGTCATTAAAGTTAATAACCTCCACTAAAATCTCTTGTGTAAAGATCCTACTATTTGGCGAGGCATAATTAATGCCACTAGGTAGAACATCCTCAGTAATACTGTCCAATAATATTTTCGACAGGATAACCACTTTCCGACTTATCTTCATTTTCTCTTTCCCTGTGGATGAATTCCGACTTATTTAAAGGTATGATTCTAATTTCCAAGTTTCTTGTCTTGATTCTTCTTTACCTGACGAAATACTATATATGCGATGTATTCACCCTATTTAGTTTAAGGCGATGAAGGACTGGTAGTAGAATTTTCCCACAATGATATGAGTAGAGCTGACATCTCCATTGAATTTCACATAGCCTTGCTTTCCAAAAAGTTGTTTTCATCCAGGATGGACAACTTGAAAACAACTTTTGGGAAAGCAAGGCTATATGAAATCCAATGGAAACGTCAGCTATATTTATATAATTATGGGAAAATTCTACTACCAGTCCTTCATCACTTTAAACTAAATAGGGTGAATACATCTCATTACACTGATTTACTGGTAGTTTCGAAACTCTACTCATATACGAGAAATACCATATGATACAATTTCAACTATCGATTGAAGTTTCTTCCTTAAATTTTCCTGAATCCTCTATATTATCGATCAAAAGTTGATACTAAGCCTCAGGACGTACTTCGTAAAGAGACAATAAGGACGACACGTAACACTAACAATGCAATTTATGAATACATAGTCAGGCCTGATTCCCTAGTTCCGTCTAGGCACCGTCTACGACGCACTGTTTACTACATTTCTGCCCGAAATATATTTTTAATTACATTATTGTCCAAATTTTCATATAGTGAAGTTAAACTGTTCGGTAGAGTTATGCACTAGATGAGAATGTTTTGAGACTATCAGTCTTCATTTTAAATTAATCTATTCAGGGAATCAAGCTCTTATACACATAGGTTATTTACAGGGTACCTTGTGCTAGTGTACTGTTAACCAATATCAAGAGGCCTTAAGCATCGATAGGAGAATATCTCTGTATCTTCATCCAAGCACTTATTTTATCTTCCTATTTGAGGATCTTTATATTATTTATATGCGCCTTATTCATTTAAGTTCCTTTCGCTCATGATCTAACGTTTCTTCACTACTTTACTTCTATTATGCCTTTCAGTAAGTGAAAATTCAGAATAATTTAATTACTTAAAAGCGCTGTCGGTTCATCAATGTCTATTGAGAATCTCTTAGAGGCCAAAAGCAACTTCTTTTTCCATTGGCTTATCAAGATTTCCTTGGTACATAACGCTTAATCTACCCTCCGATATTCGAGTGACATTTCAATTTAAATTAACATCTCATTCTTGTAAAGATCATTTATTCTTTTAATGGTCATCATGTATATGCTCACCTCTGATTGTGCCCTCTTAAAGTATCTCATATTCAATTCATATAATAGACTGACTTATCTTAGCTACTCAGTACATACAAACTTGGGCGAACTTTGCCTAAAAGTGGCAAGACAGCAGTCTGATATTTGAATTATATACTTGATAGCTGGACAACTTCTACTAATAGTTAATCTACTAACATAGAGTAAAGTAAAAAAGGAGATATAGCTCTATTTAGATTTGAAAATCAAAGCGCTATTTCAAAGAAGGCATCATTTTAAGACTGAAGTTAAGAATCTTTTCTCTATTTTTTTCATTTTGAATTACCCTGGTCTCGACCTTAACTTGTAGACATACCATCTTGGCTGGTTTCTGGTGGCTGTGGTAGCAATTTCCCTTGTCCGTTTCCAGGCAGTCTGTCTGCTACGTCCGTGTCTGTAGCTGCCATGGCTGCTTTTACAGCAACTGCGGCTGCCACTGCAGCGCCTTCAGTTCCACCAGCATCCGCCCTGCTTACTTCATCTCCTTTTACTTGCTCCGAAGAAGTTCCAGGCGCTTCGCTTGGTTGCTGTGGCATGGGTGGGCCTACACCACAAGAACTTCTTCGTCTACTCGAGAACTGCCAACTCGGTGAATTGACAAACAATTTGGTTGAATCCTCTAAAGTCAAGACCAGAAAGGAAACTTCTTTTCCTGCCTACTTTGAGTACAAGTATGAGTATGATTAAAACATAAAAGATCAAATTTACTAGGAAAGGCACTGAGGTAAATTGAACTTATCTTAAAGTATTTCCGTTTTTTAAAGCAGGCTTTAGAGACTTCCAGTAGATCTTAAATACGAAACTAAATAAGGTGAATACAGTTTTTCATCTTAAAATACATTGGAAATTAAGATTGATTCATCCTATCATTTTCATGGATGATGACTGTGCTGAGAAACTGGGTGTTTTCTGCTTGAACTTTCGTTAGTCTTTCTTATGATTGTAGCTTGACTTAATGTATAAGCAAATCA